GCCTCCTGTTCTGGCCTTTGCCCTCTTGAAGTTTCATAAAGTACAGAAATCTATTTCACCAAATCTTTAATCCCAGCTGAATGTTTATGTGTATCCATCTGTGGGTGGGAAGGTTTATTTGTTTTGGTACAGGTAGTCCTCAACTTACAACAGTTCATTTAGTGACCATTCGATGTTACAACGACACTGAAAAAAGTGACTTATGACCATTTTTCCCACTTATGACCATTGCCCCATCCACACGGTCACATAATAAGCAAAGTCAATGGGAAAATCAGATTCACTTAACAACCATGTTACTAATTTAACTGCAGTGATTCATTTAACAAGAGCCTTGGTAGTACAGTGGTCTAAGGCACCCTGTTATTAAGCTGGTTATTAAGACCAGCTGCCTGCAATTACTGCAGGTTCGAATCTCGCCAAGGCTCAAGGTTGACTCAGCCTTCCATCCTTTCTAAGGTAGGTAAATTGAGGACCCAGTTTGTGGGGGCAATAAGCTGACTTTGTATAAATATACAAGAGGATGAAGGCTATTGCTGAGCACATTGTAAGCCGCCCTGAGTCTCCGGAGAAGGGTGGCATATAAATCAAATTAAAAAACAACAACAACAACAACAACAAAAAAACCAAATATGGCAAGAAAAATCGTAAAACGGGGCAAAGCTCACTTAAGAAATTTCTCACAAAAATTCTAGGCTCAATTGTGGTCGTAAGTCGGGGACTACCTGTGCATTGTTAATATATTTTTTACTTTGTTTTATGTTACATAAAGTCTACAGATTGGGGCAGATTCCAAGCTAAAAAAAAAAAAAAGCAATAAAAACATTTTTAATCCATTAAAACTTTATCAATCAATCAATCAATTTTATTACACTCACAGACCAGCGTTAAAATTGTATTTATATATCTCTTTATATAAAATTAACTAACTTTATTTTCTGGGGTTTTGACCTTTTCCCAAAATCATATATGATTTAATGGTCGGTTTAAACTTTTATAGTGCTAAATTTAAGGATTCATAACAAAGATTTATATTATGAGCCTGTTCTCACAGTATAAGAACTAGTATAATTTTAAGACATATTGTGACTCGCACGGGTTTTAAATTTTTCTATGTGAATGGATTGAATATTGCACTATTTTCAAATTCCCTTAGACAAGATTTGTTCAAAAGCACTGAAGAGTCAGAGAATACATGTTCTAGTGGAACATTTTTGGGGGGGGGACCATAATCAATTTTTGATGTTATCCTCCACTGTCAACCTCAGGAGTACAATGCTTAAATTATTATCAAAGCTTTTATTAAAAGTTAGCTCTTACCTACTGTCTACAGATTGGGGCAAGTCCCAAGTTTAACAAACAAATTAAAGTTAGCTCTTTATGTTACCTACTGTCTACAGATTGGGGCAGTTTAGCTCTTGTGTTACTCCTATCCCACATTATTGACTTATCTTCCTGAATATGGCGTGTGTCAGTGGTGGGTTTCAAATTTTTTTACTACTGGTTCTGTAGATGCGGCTTGGTGGGCGTGGCTTGGTACGCGTGACAGGGGGAGGATACTGTAAATCTCCATTCTCTCCCTACTCCAGGGGAAGGTTACTGCAAAATCCCCATTTCCTCCCGATCAGCTGGGACTCAGGAAGCAGAGAATAGATGGGGGCGGGGCCAGTCAGAGGTGGTATTTACCGGATCTCCGAACTACTCAAAATTTCTGCTACCGGTTCTCCAGAACTGGTCAGAACCTGCTGAAACCCACCTCTGGTGTGTGTGTGTGTGTGTGTGTAGGTAGGATGGAAATTAGGGAGGTATGTATGTAACTTTGGGCAACTATAGGAAGTCCTCTACTTACAACCATTTGCTTAGCGAGAGTTCAAAGTTACAATGGGCATCCAGAAAAGTGAATTATGATCGGTTTTCACACTTGTGACTGTCACAGCATCAAAATTCAGGTGCTTGGCAATCCACATATATTTACGATGGTTGCAGGATCACATTTGCGACCTTTCCGGTTGACATCTGACAAACAAATGGGGGAGGTGGATTTGCTTAACAACTGAGTGGCTCACTTAACAATTGTAGTGATTCTTTCGAAAACTGTAGCAAAAATGGTCATTAAATCAGGTGTGACTCACTCAACAACCACCTTGCTTAGCAATGGAAACTCTGGCTTCAGTTGTGGTTGTAAGTTGAGGTCTTCCTGTACTGCAGAATTAAAAACTGAACCCAAATCTATTCGCTTGCCACGTCAATCAATTCAGAGAGACCTGCAACACATTTTTAACTTAATTGTTGCTCCTACTTAATGCTATTTCTCATTCCGCAAAGATGTGAAAACAGGGATTGCCAGATTTTAGTCAAAATATGCAGCCTGGCCTTAAATATTCAAAAGCTCCAAATATGTATACGCCACACATCCCTTCGGGAGTCAGTAGAACTTTGCAGCTGCAAAGCATATTAACATCAAATGATGTTGACATTTGTCATTCACTTATGAAGTTTAATTTACCTGAAAATTATCTGAAAAGAGGATGCAGAACAGATAGTTGCAAGCAAATAACGCTATCTATATTAGGAAAGACAGTGAGAATTTACAACGGGGGAAAAAACACGTTAAAGAACCGGATAAATTGACATGTCAAAGAATGAAAGAAGGGCAATTTGCATTTTAAAAAGATTCTCAAGCAATTTATATTCAGCAACATAAATTAAAGGAAGATATGCACAGAGGCTCCATATGTTAGAAAACATGGTGAAAGTACAGTAGTGATGATCTCTTGGATCATCACTACTGTTTTAAGTTTCAAGAGCATGTGGTAGATGCATTCTAAGTTGGTTGGTTCCCAGTTTGCTTCTGGGCCCAATTCAAGCTGCTGATTTTCACTTCTGAAACACTAAATAGCATAGGGCCAAGCTATTTGAAGGACTACCTCTTCCTGGTTATACCTACCCATCCTAAAATATATGAAGAACGGTTGCAGGAACTGGGTATGTCTAGTTTAATGAAAAGAAGGACGAGGGGAGACATGATAGCAGTGTTCCAATATCTCAGGGGCTGCCACAAAGAAGAGGGAGTCAAGCTATTCTCCAAAGCCCCTGAGGGCAGGACAAGAAACAATGGGTGGAAACTAATCAAGGAGAGAAGCAAGCTAAAACTAAGGAGAAATTTCCTAACAGTTAGAACAATTAATCAGAGGAACAATTTGATTTCATAAGTTATGGGTGCTCCATCACTGAGGTTTTTAAGAAGAGATTTGTCTCAAATGATATAGGGCCATGATGGCGAACCTATGACACACGTGCCACAGGTGGCACATGGAATCGTATCAGTGAGCACACAAGTGTTGCCCTAACTCAGCTCCAGTGTGCATGCATGCGCCAGCCAGCTGATTTTCAGGCCTTCCGGGCCCACCAGAAGTCGGGATACAGGCTGTTTCCGGCCTCCGGGGAGGTGGGGGTGGGAAGGCAGTTTTCGCCCTCCCCAGGCTCCTAGAAAGACTCTGGAGCCTGGAGAGGGCGAAAAACAGGCCTACCGGGCCCACCATGCCTTCATGTGCCAAAAGTGGGGAGAGCGCAGGGGGTCACACACGCATGTATAGGGGGCGGGGCGCATTGAATTATGGGTGTGGGCATGCGCGCATGACACCCACCCACCCACTGCGCTCCCCCTGCTTTTGGCACATGACGGCAAAAAGGTTAGCCATCACTGATATAGGATCTCCTGCTTGAGCAGGTATTGGACTAGAAGACCAGAACCAAGGTTCCTTTCAACACTATTGTTCTGTTATCCCATCAGATCTTCCAGGAGGGACATTTTATAGGTCCCGTGTATTAAGGTCTTTCAACTGGTGGGACACAGGAGACAAACATTTTCTGCCACTGTAGTCCTTCTATATGTTTCTATTTATGTTTTATTGTTGGTTTTATTGCAACAACCCCTACTGTTCTGCCCCAGCTACGGACCCCAAAGAACGCAGCACACACAAAGTCCATTCAAACCTTAGTTTACTGAATAAACCAGTTTTTTACAGCAATGTTAATGCAATTAATTAACAGCCACCAAGAATTCAAAGAATAATAACTGAAAGCTTAGTATGGTTGGAAGAATGCCCAGAAGCAATTTGCAGGAAGTTGATAAGATAAGCAAGACAAGACATGAAGGTATGTGAACTAAGTTGTTCCCTGCAAATTGCTTCAGTTGGCGTTCCTCCTTAAATAGGCTAAGGGAGTGGCCAATTAGCCCCAAGCCTTACTCTTGAGGAGACCTCCTCCTGAGGAGCCACTCCTGCCTTTTGGCAGCTCTGCGCGCCTGTGCATTGAGAAGAGGTTCGTCCTCTTCTTCCTCTTCACTTAAGGGAGCTTCTGGAGGTTCTGAAGGCCCTGGCTGAATCCCCACTCCTGGCCACCACTCTTCTCTAGCCTCCTCATTGTCCGACTCAAGTGCCAGCTGCACAGGCTACTGGCGCAGCACCACACCAGCGTCCTCGCTGTCTGAATCAGCTACTAGCTGCACAGGCCGCGTACGGGCCACAACACCTACTTGCTTTGTGCGAGATGGGAGACCATGTGAATTTGATCAATACAGTAAGTAAATAAAACTCCTTTGGAAGCCTTGATGGTTCACAAATGGCTGTGATGCTGAGTGTGCGCCCCCCCTCCCCCAAACAGGATATTATCTCCATCCTAGTAGAACCCTTGCGGAGCCCAAAATGACTCCTGCTCACAAATATGAAGCTAGAGGGTCATGCTTTCTTGTGTAGCACGTCAGTCACCTATTTAACTTACTATTTAAGATTGCTTAAGACTGGAAGCCTTCTATCATGAGAAATACCCTAGAGAAAACAAAACCATCAGACCCAATATTGATTTACCAGCAGTAGCATTTGTACTGATCTGTGCATTTCTAAGCTGCCACTCTGATTGAAAACGACAAAGAGGTAGCCCTGAATGCTTCCTTGCACACCTGTTCGTATAGTATCATCTTTTGCTTTCGGTTGACTTACTGGTAAATGTGATGTTGAAGCCACGTTTCTCGGTGGAGTGATCTGTCTGGAATTCCAGCCTGGCAACATGGCCACTGCTGGTCAGAGAAGATGGGAGTTGGCTTCCAGAGAAGGTCCCGAGGGTGGGTGATTCAGCTGTTCCACCATCCTTCACCGCCAAGAAGTCAAACTGAGGCTCCACGTCAAAATCATTGAAAGCCAAATGGATCCGACTTTCAGGTTTTGCGATGATTAGCCAAACGCAGTGCAAGCTGCTGCCATATTCCTCGGGGTAATTCGGGGAGAGCACAATCCCAGATGGACTGGTGAAATTGAAGAAGCAGGAAACTGCAGTGAAAAAAAAAGGAAGGAAGGAAGGAAGGAAGGAAGGAAGGAAGGAAGGAAGGAAGGAAGGAAGGAAGGAAGGAGGGGAGACAAGTGTCACTGTGCATGCAACTTAATAGATGAATTTAATGCCAGTTCTTTGCATTTTTGAGGTTGTAAAGACAATGTAAAAAGAGAAACAGAAAATGAAACTCAAGAATTGCTATCTTGTCAATTAAATATAAAATTATCTATTTTTCAAAGCAGCTTTTCCCCCTTTAATCTTTGTTTTGTTTTCTATTTTCCTTCTTTGGAATATTCATAAACAGTAACAATTATAGACTGGAGATCTCAGTATTACATATCAAACTACAAACAGAAATCCTTATTATATTACAAAATAATTATATGCAGTTTGCGATAGTTTTATCAATGCCACACTTAGCTTTATTTGTACAATTGAAGTAACTGTACGGCCATTAACACCCCAAATTTATACTGATGTAATTTTTTTCTTATCTTTAAAAGTTTTGTTTTTTTGTAGAAATGCCACCGTACCTAACTGATATCTGAATTTTGCTTAATGTATTAATTGGCTCTTTTATAAAATAAAACAATTAAACTACCAAATTGGGGGGGGGGAGAATTGCTGTCCTCTTTGATTGAAGAGCAATTTTGAAGAGTGAAGTATAATTAAAAACAACAATCATAAGTATGATACAAGGTTCAACTTTTCCACCGCCCAGTTTCAATAAATAAGTAGGAATTTTCAAAGGGATTTTCATTTGGGGGAAAGTAGGTCTGAATTCAAGTTGAAAATGCAATAAAGGAAGAAGGCAAAATTTACTGACCCTAAAGGAGTCTTCACTAATGTGCTTTACAGGATAAGTAATTAAAGTGAAAAAAAAACACCACTCTTTACATAATATGCCAGTTAAAACTGTGTATATGAAGTTGTGGAAAACAACTCAATTCTTAGAACTTAGCAATGTTAAATATGAGATACAGCAATTGGATATGATAAAATTATTTGGTTGTTTCAGGCATTCCAAGCCTATTTGTGTATTTGCTGGATTTAAATATTTTTTTTTGAACATACAGTATTTGAAATAATGTTCTGACAAAAGGTTTTGAAATTGGCCACTGACATTGATTTAATGACTGATAGAATAAGATCAAACTGTACATTAAGATGCAAATTCTTATATAAGCATATGCCTGTTTTTCCTTGTTCTACTGCAGGCTCTTATTTTTATTGATTTTTCTTGTTGTTTTAGATTCAGATGGTGCTTTCCCTTCAGAAATCCAAGGGGGCATAAAGGAATTCTTTCACTTACTGTCAAAAAAAGCAGAGGAAAAAGTTTCTTTTGTAAGGAACAAAAATTAATGATAATACAGGTAAGTCTTCGCCAGTGGTGGGTTCCTCCCGGTTCGGCCGAGCCGGTAGCGGTGACGTTATGACATCACTGAACCGGTTGTCTTTGTTTGGGAGCTGGGCTCTCCCCCCCCAGCGTTATTCTTACCTTTTATTTGGCCCCACCCCCAATCTATTCGCTGCCTCCCGAGTCCCAGCTGATCGGCTAGAAGGAAAAAACTGTTTAAATTCTTGCCGCGGGGCTTCAAAGTGCCGCCCTACAGCTGATCAGTGTTAAAAGGCAGTGTGGTGGTAGACCGGTGCCTCCAAAAACGAATGATGTGATTTCACCACTGCCCATGGAATTACTGACATTAGTAAATGAGGAAAAAGAGGTAACAATTCTGTCTTGAGACAGACACACGGACACACATAGAGGGTGAAGTATGGACAATACTGAAAGTAGTACCTGCTACTCATGTGAAAAGTAATCTATAGTGGAACCAATGTAATAATTTTCATTAAGACCTAACACTGTCTTGTTTAAAATAATGTTTGCTATGAACAGAGCGAGGTAAATTTGTTTTGTTTCTATAACATTAACTTCTAAGTACAAGTATATTTTATAATTATACCTTTAAGCATTTGGATTTTTTTTTAAAAAAAACCTTTTACATAAACATTTTTGCAACTGTCTTCCTCAATATGCCTTTTATTTTTTTCTAAACAAATTTCCCTAATATACAGTATACTGTGTTGTATGAAATTTCTACAATACTTTTTTTTTATTTCAATATTCTGAGTGTTGAATGGCATGCAACCTTCCAGAGAAATACAAAAATCTGAAGACAGCATTTCAGTTTGTACAACAACCTCAAGCTGCACCAAGATAAATCTATATTTATTAATTAAACAACTTTATAGAACCATTTATCCATCCTGACAAACCTTTCAGTGACCAATAATTTATAAAGCCCAATTAAAACACCTATTTAAAAAAAAAAGAAGTCAAATCATCCCTAAGAATTCTCCAACAGAATAAAACAACACATACATGCCAGCTCCACTAACTTCCTAGCCCCCCCAACATAGTGGGGGAGGGGGGGCATACCTGTAGATCTTCAAGTCTTTCAGAAAGCCAATAGGATATCTGAACTTCGGGAGAGGAGTGTTCCATAATGTTTGTTGAATTGTAAACCAAACAACTTTTGCCCAATTATAGAAACTTAGAGTAAAGAATAAATGGTCCAAGGTATCTAGAGGATAATTAGATAACAGGCTCGTTTATCATACCAATGAGAGAGAAGAGATAAATTAGATAGCGGCAATAGAAAAAAAATAACTGTACAGTTGAATTATGGAGTGCTTATGGAACAGCTTGCCTCCAGAAGTTGTGAGTTTTCCATCACTGGAGGTTTTTCAGAAGAGATTGGACATCCATTTGTCCGGAATGGTATAGGATCTCCTCCTTTGACCAAGGGGTTGGACTAGAAGACTTCAAAGGCAACTTCCAGTTCTGTTTTACTGTTACTGTTATTGAAGAACAATTTAAAGTCACCACAACAGAACCCCCTTTCCTATTTCTGTTCTCCAACCATATTGGATATTCTCCAAGAAAGAAAATGAGAATATACTTTAAATCAGTGGTGAAATGGCTTGGGGGGTGTGTGTGTTGGGTTAATATGACTGAGTGGTCGTGGCCAACTTTTTTTTTTTAACTTTTAAAACCATTTTTTCTACAACATCTTTGGCAGAAGAGGTTGTGAAAAAAATGCTTTTAAAAGCCTCTGACGATCCCAGCTCACTTGCCTGATCGGCAGAGGCTTTTTTTCCTTTTAAAAACATTTTTTCTATAACCTCTTCAGCCAAAGAGGTTGTAGAAAAACTGCTTTTAAAAGCCTCTGATGATCCCAGCTGAGCCGCGCGATCATCAGAGGCTTTTTTTTTTCCTACTTTTAAAAGCATTTTTTCGGCCAAAGGGGTTGTAGAAAAAATGCTTTTAAAAATTAAAAAAAAAAGTCTCTGATGATTGTGTGGCTCAGCTGGACATGGTGGGGGGGCACGGATTTTTGCTACTGGTTCTCTGAACCACCCGTCTCCATCGCTACCGGATCAGGCGATCTGGTCCGAACTGGGAGCATTTCATCCCTGCTTTAAATCTTATATAAATAAATCCCTTAGAATTGAATTATAGTTGTAATAAAGGAAAACCAATGCAATTTCTATGCTTTTATTTTAAATTTGTTGTAAAGTCATCTCTACCTCTTTGGACGCTAAATTCTAGAATACAACCCCATCTTGGGTAAAGGGTTTGGTTTGGTTTGAAAGGCCACCATTCAGTTTACCTGACTATCATTGGATTTGGTGTTATAAAAGACAGGGGGAAAAGTCTCCTTCCTATCCATCTCTGTCCACAGTCGCATGGTGTGAACATCCTTCACCAGAGGATGAATATACAGAATATCTGCACCAGTCTCTGCTTACTATGGGAGAAGACAGTTGAGCCCTTCTTCCAATATGTCAAGTATCCATTTCTAGAATATGGAGGCTACACCAGTGGTGGATTGCCCCCGGTTCGGACTGGTTCTATAGAACCGGTAGTAAAACCAGTGGGAGGCTCCGCCCACTGACCCCGACGTCATCAGAACACTTCTGCGCGTGTGCAGAAGAGCGCGCGTGCACGCGACCCCATTGCAAACTGATAGTAAAGGTAAGTAGAACCCACCCCTGGGCTACACGTTCCTCCCAACTGTCACCTTTCCCAAAACTGCAAACTCTTTTTCTCCTACTTCTCTCTTCCTCAGGATTTCTGGCTATTTTAAAATCTAAAAGTTATCCCTTCTGTTCATCAAGCGGCTGAGCTTCCTACTTTGCCCACCCTTTCCCCAGCCCTCCTGGGCTTAATTCCAAACAGCTGCTATGGGCAGAAGCCAAATTATATCTCTCCCTTGGACTTGCCATGATAATTTTATACACCTCTATCACATCCCCCCCTCCCCATTCCCGAAAGAGGTTCCGACATTCTGCAGATAGCAGGCATGGGTGGTTAGACAAGTACCAAGCGAGGACCGAGAAAAAGTCGCCATTGTGTTCCCTGAGCAGAGTGCAAGGAATCTACTGCTGAGTCCAGCAAAGAAAACAACTATATTCCAGCTCCTGATAGGCATCTCCATGCCAATTTAAGGCAAAACCGCTCCCCGTCCTCTGCCATTATGCCATCATCAGGAGGGGGACCAGCAGCTTCAGCTAACGAGGTGTGAAGACAGATGGTGGGAAAGTAAAGGCAATTAAGAAAAAAATGTTTAGAGCACATCTGCAAATATGGAGCCTGCTCAGCCGTCCAGAGGGAGCTTTTACCACACTGTGGCGGATGAGGTCTATTGGCTTCCCGTAGCAAAGAGGATCTTTAATTGGACCCATCTCTTGGATGTCCAGTCCACTGACAGCTAGGCTGGTTTTTTATATATTTTTTTTAATATATAATTTGATTTATATGCCACCCTTCTCCGGAGACTCAGGGCGGCTTACAATGCATTAAGCAACAGCCTTCATACTTTTGTATATTTTTACAAAGTCAGCTTATTGCCCCCACAGACTGGGTTCTCAATTTACCTACCTTAGAAAGGATGGAAGGCTTAGTCAACCTTGAGCCTGGCAAGATTCGAACTTA